TCTCATGCTGAGGTGAAAACATGTCCTTTTCTTGTCTACCGAGACATCTTTTCACAGTGAACTTCTATCTTTCGTATATCAAATCCCTTACAACTATTATGCTGTGTACCTAATGAAAAGCAATCTTAGAGTCAAAGAAGTATCTACTCTTCTCCTTAGACAACATGTAAATTAATCATTCACAAAATTAAATGAGCATTTGTTTTAATGTTTTAAGTGACTTTGGAACCAAATATCTGAAGTACCGCCTCTTACAGTAGATATATTATATTTTTAGACACAAAGGAGAGGCCTCTTCTTTGTATCAACCCAATGTTGTGACACTCCCCCTAAAGGATTACTATATTACTTTACTATATTTTACTGTATGACATTACTATATTTTCAGTGTCAGATCAAGATATTTTTATTCGTCCATGCACTGTAACTAACCACCTTGCTTTTGCTTCATTGTTCATACTCCCTCAATTTTATAGCTAACATGATGTTTATTTTTACTGGCACTAGGTACTACATGCACCATATCTGTCACTTTGAACTTCTGTTGCATATAAATTCGCAGAATCCGTTCTGATGCAGAGCAGTCTAGAAATTATGAACATAAAACTAAACGAAATGGGTTCATTAAAGATGTTGACAGCTGCTGGCTGAAAAGTTTTTCAGGGCTATGAGTGATTGGGAACAATACGATACTTCTTTTTCTCTGAAAATATGGATTAAACAACAGTAGAAAAAACACAACAGTGTGATACATCTTATACAATAACAAAGATACATCTTGTACAATAAAGAAGAAAATAAATAAAAATTGAAAAATGGGCTAATAAAAATAAAGGATTCCCCCTTCCTAAAGTGAACAGGGAGGTTGTTAAGTACATTATTGTCATTTTCCTATACAGGTAGGCCTTGCTTAACAACCACAATAGGGACCAGAAAACTGGTTATTAAGCAAGGTGGTAATTAAGTGAGTCACCACATGACTGGACCCAATTTCACGACCATTTTTACAATGGCCGTTAAGCGAATCACCACAGTCGTTCAGTGAATCACATGATCATCAAGCAAATCACATGGTGGTTAAGCAAATCCAGCTTCCCCAATGGATGTTTTTTATCAGAACCCGCTTAACAACTGCATGATTCACTTAACGACTATCATAAAGAACATCACAAATCATGATCACATGACCATGAGAGGTGGTGCAACAGTATACGACAGTCATAAGTGAAGTACAGGTCATAAAGCACTTTTTCCAAAACTCTCGTAACTTCAAACCATTGTTAAACAAACGGCCGTTAAGCAAGGACTACCTGTGATTGTACCTCAACTGTACATCTATTACAGCTCAGAAGAATGAAGTTGCTTCTACCAAGCAATAAGGTATGGGGGTCATAACATCTACCTATAAGAGACCACTGTTTTCTATCTGAATCTATCTTACTACAATTATGGTCACAGCAATCAAATAAATCCTAAGGAAAGCAAGACTCTCACCAAGCAGTGCTGTGCAGAGTTCTGTGTCCACATACCCATTCTCAGTCAAAGCTCCAAATACCAGCCCATCAGCCCCATACTGCTTGGCAAGCTGGATGTCAGCTTTCATGACCTCTGTTTCCCGGTCAGAATAGAGGAAATCCCCACCACGGGGGCGGATCATCACAAATATGGGGACTGCTATGCACTGCTTCACTACTTGCAAAAGACCTATAAGCAATAAAAGATGTAATCCACAGTATCAGTTAAGAGCTGGGGCAGTGTATGAGTGCGACAAGAAAATAAACCACAGTATAACGAAAAGAATTATGCCAACCCGACAGAGCTAGATCCTCAGTTCTGCTTCCTGCAGCAGTAAGATAAAAGAAAAGAAGAAAGTTCTGACCTTTTCCAGAAGAGGTTGGGAGGTAAAAGGGAGGTTGAAGAATAGTATACAAACAAATATGAAAAAGTGTTAGCCTGCTTTGTAAAAAGTAAAACACTGCTAATGCTGTAACATTCCTGTCTCAGTTACAAAAGTAATATCTTCCTTTTTATCTGAGGGTTGGAGAGCTATAGACCAAGGTTTAATTTACAATATTTTATAGCACTGATCAGTTCTCATCACTGTAAAGTATGAGGGGCTAGATTCAGCTTGCCAACTCACCTATACTTGGTGTAGTTCCTCCCTCCATCAGATTGGCACATAATTCAAGGCGACCAGCACCTGCAAAAATACAGATCTACTGTTTGAAAGCAGAAGTTAAGAACAATACTGTACATTATTTGCTGTAATAGACAGGAGTGTTTCTGGGCATTCCTGAACCATCATTTATAAGGAAAAACCCTATTTAATTTCCTCATTTGGACTTCTAAGTATTAATGACTATGTGATTTCAAAAAGTGAATATGTATTTTACATGATTTACTGTGGTACTGATTCAACACATTAAAGTAGAACAATACAAAAACTGTAAAATATGAATTGTCATCTATTCATATAAATTTGCATCTTGCCTGTCTTAAGTGTCAGAACACATAATTGAAGATATTAAAAAGAATATATTGTTTCACACTTTAAAATATTACACATCTTGCTCTTCTCTCCAAAAGGATTTCCAAAATGGCTTCATAATGCTTTTTACAATGCATTCAGCCTATGTCCTCAGTGGTAGGTCTCCTCTGTGACTCTTCAGTATCTTCAGCTACTATTTTTATGGGATTACCTCCTCTTTCAGCATTAATGGCAGATTCCACTGAATCAACACATACTTCCATGAGAAAGCCACTGGCCATTCCTAGGAGAAATACAAAGCAGAAGTTATGGGGCAAATGGACTCTGCCCTTGAGAAAAGGGCAAGACTATTTATGAAAAAGGTGATATCTTTTATCTTAAGATCCAGCCCTTGCTGTAACTCTCAGTCAGTTTCTTCCATGTAATTAGCCCAGGCATATCTGAACGCAGAACCAAAAGGCTCCTAGATTTCTATTTACTAGTTAAATTCTGTCTAAGTTATTATAAACAGCATTTACTGTCTGAACAACATACCTAGGAGATTGTTATTGAAAAGCTAAAACTGTAATAGAGGACTCTATTTTCAACTACCTACACCTCACTTCTGAAGGCAGGAGAATGAATATGAACCTCCGAAGAACATATCTCACATTCATGCAAGTGATTATGTACAGTAATTAAGGTAATTACATATAGAAAGGTAATGCTGAAAGATTTCCCTAAAGCACACACACACACACAAAAAGAGAGAGTTAAGATGGGGGCACAGGGGAGGGAATACTAAAAATAATTTGCTTATTAAAGATCCACATTTTTCTCCATGTAGAAAGATTCTACTACAATGAGCAAAATTTATTTGGTTCCCCTCTCACTTTTTTTCCCATATAACTTAAAGTATTTTGGCTTTTTTACAGGAATTGAGGAAAGACCTGACATCCACAAAAGTGATGAACATAGCATCCTTGGTTGATGCAGAAATATTTTAGATCCATAAAGACCGACCTCTGACTGCTAACAAGTGATGCACCAACATCAACCAAGACTTTGATGAAGTATTTTGTGTTTCTCACAAAGTTGTCTATGATCAACTTTTTGACTGATAAGCTTAGTGATCTACAAGCATCTCTAACTTCCTGTGTAGATTATTAGATGCTCTTAGTTCAAAACAAATCTTTCAATTTAAAGAAGTATACACTAGTCTAATGATATATACTTATGCATAGGAATCATGCTTATTTTACAACTGCTCTTAATCTTGGAGCACTAGGATCCCTGTGTTCGTCTGAAATATCTAATGCCATTTAATTGCACTATTTGGCATTATATTGCTAATTATTTAAACTATTTTACATAAGCAATATGCTGCAGTGTCTTGCATTGTGGAAAAGGTAAAAAAATCTCTGAAATATACTACTGTAATTGTACTACTGTACACTACTGCAGGACAAAACAAAAATAATTTAGAAGATACACAAATACCTAGCATGAACTAAATATAACATTATTTATATAATCTGATTGTAACTGTACTGTTTTAACAGAGGGGGAAACTGGAGACCAATTTATTTATTCAATAGAAAAATAGTGAAGACCTTTACTATCTCTGTGAGTTTTCTCAGTGAAAGCAGCAAATTGGTTTTCACTAGAGCCACGATGGGGAAAGAAGTGCCTAAATCCACCACTTTGCAACTCTGATCCCACAGCACGCGTGCTAATGCCGATTTGCGTGTGCCGATACATACCCACTTCCGAAGATCTAAAGTATGCCAGGGAGAAAGACTTATCCTAATCTACTCTACATCATTCTCTTTTACATCTAAGGATCATTTCAAATGGAGTAATATTAGCAGTGCGATCCTATATGCGTACATCCCACCAAGCCCGGCAGAATTTGCTCACAGTGACGTATGTACCTGGGATCAAAAACCACTGAATTCAGTGAACTTATTCCTGAGTAGACACACAAAGGATGATTCTAAAAAAAGCGTCACCCCCCTTATCTGCCGCGCCTTTTCCGTTTAGTTTTCTTGAGTGGATGCAACTAAGTGCAGCGAGCCAAACCCAGGCAGAAGTGGGGCACCAGCAAAACATCTCCACCGCATTATTCGCTTCTTTCGAAGCTACTCTGAAACTAAAGGGGGTGCGCGCGCGAGACAGACTTAAGGATTAAAATTGCCCGGATATCTATTTTTAACTCCGCCTTCCCAAACCCTTATGATCCCTTCCGGCCTCCGTTCCTGGTTTCGCCTCCACCCAACTCACCCTCGCACCCTCCCACCGGGCCCCGCTTCCGGTCCCATTTCCTCATTCCACGTCCGTCACACCGGAGCTCCGGAGGTGACTCCGAGATCGACGGGGCTGATGGGAAAGGAAGAAGGCCACGCCCCCAACTCTCACCTGTCCTGGCCGTGCACGCGGGGAAGCGCCGTTCTAACTGTCACGTGATACCATGGAGCGTATTGCACTGCGTTTCCGGGGAAAGTTGCCTTATTTCCGGTTAGAGGAAAGCTACTTCCTCGTGGTAACGTGAAGCGATGCTTTTACGGGCGGTACTGGGAGGTACTCGATTTTTGCTGGCACCTCGTAAAGGAAGTTCTTCTGGCCAGGTACTTGCACAGTGGAATACGGTTTCCTGATCTCTCAAAATGTGATAAAGTTAGGGGTATCACATCTGAGCTGCAAATAGCAGGACGAAAATTAAATAGGAGCAAAGAGAACATTCTGTTGGAAGAAAAAGTTATCTTACCAAGTCCGTTTCTGAGCCGGGAGTAAAGACACTG